GGATTAAAAGCCTGGGTACATCTACACAATGGAATACCACACTTCTGTAAAAAATAAAGAACTCTTACCATTCACAACAGCATGGATGGGCATGGAGAGCATTATGCTAAGCGAAATAAGCCAGTCGGAGAAAGATAAATATCATATGCTATCTCACTCACTTGTGGAATATAATGAACAACATAAACTGATGAGTAAAATAGATCTAGAGATAGAGAAACATCCAAAAGATCATCAAACTTCAGAGGAAAGGTGGGGAGGGGTGTGTGTGGGGATGGGTAAGAGATCAACCAAAGGACTTGTATGCATGCATATAAGTATAACCAAGGGACACAGACACTAGGGGGGTGAGGGCATGTGCTGGTGGCCAGGGAGAGGTCAATGGGGGGAAAAGGAGATATTTGTAATACTATATGTAACACTTTAAACAATAAAGCATTTAAAAAACAAAAAGAGAACACTTTACCCTATGAGCAAGAACAAGGTAAGTATGTCCTTGCTCATTGCTCCTATTAAACATCATACAAGAAGTCCTAGCTTGTGCAATAAGACCAAAAAGTAAATAAAATGTATACAGATTGGAATGGAGGAAATATAATTGTTTCTATTTGCAGATGACATGATTGTCTATATAGAAAATGCCAAAACATTGACAATCTCCTGGCCACAAAGTTTCAAGATGTAAGATTAATATACAGAAGTTAATTATTTTCCTACATATCAGCTATGAACAATTGAAATTTGAAATTTAAAAAAATTGTTTATAACAGCACTCCTAAATTGCAGAATGTGACGAAAGAATGTAAGTGTATTACAAATATGAAACAACCTTACTGAGAGGGATGGGAGGAATAAGGGGCTGACATAAGTAAGTTTGGAAATGAATGTAGTCTATAAGACTATAGGCAAAATTTTCTCTGTATATTAATATTAAAATATATAAAGAGGTAAACATATATAAAAATGTATATACCCTATATAATTAAGAGGGAATATGCAAATTGACCATACCTCTGCCACAAATATGGCAGTGCCCACAGCTGAGGCAGGGGGTTTCCATAACACAAGATAGCTATGACCACAGTGGAGGCTGAGTTCCCTTAATGAGCAATCACCAGGGACCTCAGGCTATGCCCCCCACCCAGCAGGGCTTGATGGGGGACCTCTGGCCATGCCCCTGCCTGGCAGGGCTTGACAGGGGACCTCAAGGTGTGCCCCCCCTGCTCTGGTGCTGGGCCAGGGGAACTCAAGCTGTGTCCCCCACCCTGGCACTGGGCCAGTGGACCTCAGGCTGAGTCCCCTGCCCAGTGGGGCTTGACAGGGGATCTCAGGCCACATCCCCCACCCAACTGGGATTGACTGGGACCTGAGGCTGCACACCCCCACCTGGTGGGGCTTGACAAGGATGGGACTGGCCAGATCTGGATCTAGCCCAATGTGTGTGTGTGGGGCAGTCGGGTCTGGGTCTCACAGGATTTTGAGGCGCATGTGGGTGGGCGAGAACTTGACTCTGGGTCCCATGGTATGCCCCAGACTCTGGCAGGAAGATGATTTTCATATACATTTTACTAATTTTCTTTCATCTCTGATACTTCTATTAATACATTATTACTTACTAAAGTATACATTTATTTTACTTAATATATAATTAATATACTTCTATTATAGAAAAATGGCATATATATAATTAATATACTTCTATTATAGAAAAATGGCAGATAGCAATATTAAAATATTTCCTCTAATTAATCCCATTTTAATGTGCATGGATTTCGTGCACTGGATCACTAGTATACACACACACACACACACACACACACACACACACACACAGATTATTATATATCCATATATCTCCTTACTCAGAGGGCCTCGAAGCAATGATATCCCAACAGTAATGAGTACACCTAGCACCCAGATCCTGGTTTTTAATACTATTCTCCAACTTAAGTTATCAGGACTCCTTGGAGAAATGGTTAGTTCTAGAACTTGGGCAGGAAATATGCAAAACTAGTGTATCTTGTAGTGCCAGAAAGAGTTACTTACACACACACACATCAAATAGATACAAAAGCCAACTGAAAGAGCTCCCTATGGTCAAAATTAAAACAGGTGCAATCAAAACATTAAAAGTAGCATTAGATTATAATCTGAAGTATCAAATAAATATTAATGAGATCATGCTGATATAAATAAATTAATAAAAGGGGAAGAAGTCAAATATCCCATGCAGAATTCCAAATAATTTTAAAGATAGTCTACCCTCAAGTAGGTAGAACACTCCATTTCTTAAGTGTGGACTGTGCATAGTGACTTTCTTCCAAAGAGTACATATAGCCCTGCCCAGCACTGCTCAGAGGCGGGAGGCAACTAACTGATTTCTCTCTCTCAGATCGATGTTTCTCTTCTCTCTCTCTCTCTCCTTCCCCCTCCCTCCCACCCGCTCTAAAAACCAATGGAAAAAATATCCTCCCATGAGGATTAACAACAAAAAAGAGTATATACAATATGGAAAAGGAGATATAAGAGTAACTTTACCATGGAGAATCCTGGCAAACACTACCTCAGTCAGGTTACCAAAGTTAACATCAACAGTGATAATAGTGATAGTATATATCCTTTATATGATGTGATGAAAATGGCACTTTATCTCTGTGGTCCTCTTCCTAAAAGCACTTAATTCCTGTTAATCACAAGAAAAAAAATCAAGCAAACCAAAATTGTGGGACATTATTCTTTTTAAAGTACATTTTTATTGATTTCAGAGAGGAAGGGAAAGGGAGAGATAGAAACATCAATGATGAAAGAAAGCAAGCCACTGATCAGTACCTCCTGCATGCCTCATACAGGGGATCGAGCCTGCAACCAGGACATGTGCCCTGACCAGGAATCAAATCATGACTTTCTGGCTCATAGGTCAACTCTCAATCACTGAGCCATGCCAGCCGGGCAAATTGTGGGACATTATACAAAATACCCAACCAGTACCTCTCAAGGGTGTCAAAAGCATCAAAAACAGAATAAGTCTGAGAAATATAACAGCCAAGAGGAGCCTGAAACAAGGATGATTAAATATAAAGTGGTATCTATCCTGGATGGGATCCTAGAACAGAAAAAGGACATTAGAGAAAAACTGAGGAAATATGAATACAATGTATACTTTAGTAAGTAATAATGTATTAATATAGGTTCACTGTTGCAAATATACCATACTATTTAAATGTTAACAATAGGGGCTATTGAGTCTGGTGGTTGTGGCTCAGTTGGTTAGTCATTGTCCTGTGCACTGAAAGGTTTATGGTTTGATTCCAGTCAGGGCACATGCCTGACTTTCCTGGCTTGATCCCTAGTAGGGGTTGTGTAGGAGAGAGCTGATCATGTTTCCCTCCCACATCAATATTTTCTCTCTTTCTAAAAATCAATTTAAAAATAGGGGCTATTGAGTATGGGGTACAGAGAACTCTACCATCTTCGCAATAATTCTGTAAAAATCTACGACTGCCCTAAAATAACTTTATTTTAAAATCAATATAAATTAACAAAAGGCTAATGAAGAACTTGGAGGAGGGGCGGGGGACCACATGGGCCTGTTAAAATGGTAAGGTAGAGCTTAATAGAAATTTCCTGGGAGACTATTCCTTTTTTTTTTTTTTTAATAGTTTTAATTGATTTTTTTTTTTTTACAGAGAGGAAGAGAGAGGGATAGAGAGTTATAAACATTGATGAAAGAAGTGCACTAGCCTTATGCACACCTCCCACTGGGGATGTGCCCACAACCAAGGTACATGCCCTTGACCAGAATCAAACCTGGGACCTTTCAGTCCACAGGCCGACGCTCCATCCACTGAGCCAAACCGGTTTCGGCGGAAGACTATCCCTTCTAAGAAAAAAAAGAGTCAGCAGACAAGAGATTAACAGATGAGAATAGCATAGCATCTGGTCACTCAGATTTTTCTCCTGGTTCAAACTCCAATATCTAAATCCAGTGGAGATTGCTGTATGCAAAAACACACACAAACCAACGAAAAACTTGGAGTGTTATCTAGGAACTTTATAAAATATTAAGGTCCAAGTGACAAATGGGTACTACCCACCTGAGTTAGAGTTAACTCTATTGTAGACAGAATTCTCCACCCTTCTGTTGAGATACTATACTGCTTTAGTCCATCATGATCTCCAGCCCACCAATAGGGGCCTTAGGAGGGTGCAGGACCCATGAGATGAGGCACAGTGCCCAAGAGACATGGCATTAACCAGGAAAGAGTGGCAACTACCCTTAGCTACCTGGACTTATTCCTGGACAGAAGTGGAACCTCCCTTAATCCTCTCCCAAACATCAAAAACAGGGAAAATTCAGGGGCTCTGGTCCTGCTAGTGCAGGGGAGGGTAGTAGTTAGCCCAAAATAGCCATACTCAGTATCTCATCTGACCTTCTCCACAGTCCTGGAAGGTGAGTTTTATCCCCAATTCACAGATGACAAGACTATTCCTTGCAACAATGCATATGTAACTATGAAGTTGATTCTGCCACAACTTTGAGTCCCAGAAGTAATGTTTTACTTACCATTTCACATGCTGATAACAAGAATTTTAAGTGTCCCCAGGTTTTTCATAAGCACTGAACTGTTCTTTTGATTGCTTGGTATTGTTTTCCTATTTTTTATCTTCCATTATTTTTATGATGAAAGTAATAGGAACAAAAAAATTACCCACAGATAACCACTATTAATCTTTTTGTAGACACAGCTTTCAGAGTTTTTTTTTTTTTTTCTTGTACATAGATCATTAGGTCAATATCTTTGCAGTTTTACAAAAATGGACTGATGCCATATATATGGTTCTGCAAACTTTTCTTTTTAATTTTACAATGCATCATAAACATTATTCCATGCAATGGACAAAAATCTGCTACTGAAACATAGAGGGCTGCAGTTGGATAACAAGAGTGACTACTAAATCAAAATATTAGCCCTGGGCCTTGCAAATGCCTGCCATGGGCACTACACAAAAGGAATATCTTCAAAGCCCCTTTGTGGGGCCCTACAGCCACCCCTGAGTTCCCTAGGGCCTCTGGGGTGGAAGGGGTCCTGTAAACTTTTTTGCATCCACATAAAACCCCCCAATTTCTGTCTGGTTTTCTTCACCTCATCCTCTACCCTAGCCATCTCGTCAAATTCTCTTATCATCTCCTCATTGCTCAAATGCATATCATGTATGGCCTCTTTGTATTCCTTGAGGCACTGAGCCAGCCCCTTGTTGGTTTTTCTTTTGGCTTTCCTGGGCACATCATCCCCAGCTGGGCGCTTTCCTCCAACCTTTGGTTCGATGGCTGGTTTTCCTTCTTCTTTTGGCTTTCCCTCACTCTCTGTTTTTCCTTCTTCTTTTGGTTTTCCCTGGCTCTCTGACTTTCCCTCTATCACTGGTTTTCCCTCCTTCTCTGGCTTCTCCTTATCTAGTATTTCCTCATCTTCTGTCTCTCCCCTGTTTTCTATCTTTCCTTCATTTTTTAACTTTTCCTTGTCTTCCAGCGTATCAGCTACTTCTGGCTTTGCAGCATTCTGAGGTTGTTCATTTTCCATCTTTCCTTGATTCTCAGGCATTCCTTCATTTACACTGCAGAGTTTTTCCATGTTGAGATGTCCCCTCCTTTTCCTGTCCTGGGGGTGAGGTTGGGGGTAGGGAGGAGATACAGAGGAGACAAGGGAGACGGAGGATTTGGGAGTGGAAGGGGGGTCTGGATAGTAATGGCATCTTGCCCCTTGTCAGGGTTCCCCTTACCGGGCTCCGCCCTCCTCTACCACCCTTTCCTCACCATTCCTTCCACACACGTGAGCCAACCATTTCTCTGGCAGGCCCTGCCATTTTCTCTACATTTGCTCGGCATGGCAGTATGTGTGTGAATGTATTGGAGGTGGACAGTGGGGCCCCAAATTCTGTCCACACTCCCCACCCCTTTGGGACACCCCTCCTTTAACTGACCTGCAGGAATTCTGGACAGGTTCCTTCCTTTTATAGCGTAGCCGAGTGCTGAGAACAACAGATACGCAGACCTGCAGGCAGACAGGGGAGACAGGAGCTGGGCGTTCGGTGGATGGACAAGGACTCCGATACCTTTCCTAAATCCTGGCACTAGTCACTCAACGTTTTCCTCCCCGACCTCCTTTGCTCCCCACACCACAGACACCATTTCTTTTCAAGCCTGGGGCGCCAGATCAGGATGTTTTCCACCCTAATTTTGGTTCTCTGCGTCCTCCTCTCCCTGAGGCAACTCGCCACCCCACCATGGAGGTCAACTTTCTTTCTCTACGCACAGCGTAGGCGAGGGGGTTAATCTCCACGGTCTCACTGCTGAGGTGTCCGCCAGTTCACCATCTCCGGCTCCAAGATGGTCGGAGGGCAGCGAGAAGGAGGTGCAGAGAAAGGGGGCATGGGTGCTTGGGGGTGTCCGCCTTTCCCACCCTCCACCCATCAGCCGCTTGCTCCCTCTTAGTCCTTTCCCCACCGCCATCTCTAGCTACAGTCAGGCGGCTCCCCTCCACCCTTTCCCCATCCCCAACCTTTTCCCTTTCCGCGCCCATTCCTTCTCGCCCATCCGAAGGCCCTCGCACTGACCTGAAAGAACCTGGCGCAACAATTAGGAGTTCTCAGACAGCTCCGGGTCTGACTGCAGGAAGGAAGGCGGGCACCCGGACCAGTGCCCACAGCTGCGCCGGCAGGTCACGTGAGCGTGTGTCCCCGAGCCCCGCCCATTAGCCGGGGACTGCCAGCCACATGCCGCCTCCTTCCCCCAGGTTCCCCTCTACCTCCTGGGGACCTTTTGTTCTTTTCCTCTTCTTGAGAAGTTTGTCAAAGAAAGAATTTTAATGAAAACCGCGGAGACTTTTTTTCTTCAATAAGGTGGGCTGCCCAGGGGAAGAGTCTTAATAATATTGCTTTTCAATTCAGTTGAAAGAACATAGACCAACCCCCATAAAATGGTAAGACTGTGAACTTGAATATTGTACAAAGAGTAGAATGTTGCATTGAGAAAAAAATAGGAACAATATTTCCCTCAAAATGAAATGTTTTTTTTTTCATTACATGCACAAACATTTTTTCTAATGAATTAGTATTTAAATCTAAATGAAATTATATTTGAGGCAAAATAAAAAAATGACTGCATATAACATAATGACCAGACCATATATAACAATAGAACTGTGACCTGCAACCTCTACAGCAAGCAGCCCAAGAAGCCAAACAGCCTCTGCTTCAAACTTCAGGATTTGAACAATAATTGCAGCCAACCCAGTCATAAAAAATGCCTTGCTTCTAGTTCACGTTCTTCTCCAGGTTCCTCATGCCAATGACCTCCAATCAGAGTACCTGAAGCCTTCCCTGTTTTCTCTCTAAAGTTTTCCTATTCCCCTGCCTGCCTTTAAGTTTGCCAAACACAAGTGAAAGTGGCTGACTGTCTTGTTATAACAAGATCTGAATAAGTAGCCACCATTTCCACATGAGCTTTTTGTGTGGAAGGCTTTACCTCTCTCTTTACCTCTGTCTTTCACTCTCTAAAATAAATGGAAAATTATCCTCTGGGTGAGGATTAAAAAAGAAAAAAGGACAACAGTGATAGGTTTGATTACAAGAAATTGTGTAAAAGATTTGGTGAGGGATTAGGGAACACGTGCACTTTTCCTTGCCCTTGTTGAGTGTGTTGGTAAAATTTTTCTGAAGGGCAATTTTCTATATGGTTTTAAAATAAAAATATTTGCCCTAGCCGGTTTGGCTTAGTGGATAGAGTGTCAGCCTGCAGACCAAGGGCACATATGTTGGTTGCAAGCTTCTCCCTGGCCCGGGCACTGGTTTAGGGCTTATAGGAGGCAACCAATCAATGTGTTTCTCTTACATCGATGTTTCTCTCTGCCTTTCCCTTTCTCTTTTACTCTCCCTAAAAATTAGTGGAAAAATACCCTCAGGTGAGGATTAACAAAATAAAAATATTTGATATTTTGGTTCAGTAATTCCACTTCCAATATTTTTCCAGGAAGATAATAATGCTTTAAAATATAATCTTATGTTTTTAAATATTTTATGTTTTAAAATTCCCATAACAATTGTTTATTATACATTTATTTTTTGCTGAAACTAAGGCTTCAGGAGTGATTCTGTAGGCTTTGTTTATAATGGGGGGAAATGAAACATCAAAATTGTCCATCAGTACAGATTTAGTTACATAATCTTCTTAGTACATTTGTTTACTTTGGTTATCTTTGGATACTTGGTTAAAGAAATAATCATTTTCTTAACATAGTGCTCAATACACAGTAAATATAATTATTAATTGTCATAATCCCAAGGGAGAAGGAGAGACAGATAGAAACATCAATGATGAGAGAGAATCATTGACTGGCTGCCTCTTGCATGCCTCCACTGGCAATCGAGCCAGCAACTAGGGCATATGCCCTGATTGGGAATCAAACAGTGACTTGATTCTCAACCACTGAACCATGCTTGCTACGTGGGAACTTATATTTCTTTCTTTTTAAAAAAAAAATCTTTATTGAGACTATTACAGATGCCCACCACCCCCATTGTCCCCTCCACCCGGTTGCTGCCCAGCCCCAGGCTTTCACTACCCTAATGTCTGTGTCCATAGGTAAGATCTTTGGTTAATTTCTTCCCCCTTTCCTCTGAGATTCGTCAGTCTGTTCCATGCTTTCATGCCTCTGATTTTGTTTTATTTGCCAGTTTATTTTGTTCATTTGATTTTTAATTAATTTATTTTTATTTTTAGATTGATTTGATTATTGATAGATATGTGTTTTTGCCGTTTTATTGTTTATATTTTTATCCCTTCTTCTTCTTCTCCTCTCCTTCCTCCTCCTCCTCTTCCTCCTCCTCCTCCTTCTCCCCACTCCTCCATCTCTTCCTCCTCCTTCTCCTACCCCTCCTCCTCCTCCTCCTCCTCCTTCTATACCCTTCAACATTTCATATAATACTTGTTTGGTGGTGATGAACTCCTTTAGCTAAGAAGCTCTTTACTTGGCCCTCAATTCTAAATGAGAGCTTTGCTGGGTAGAGTAATCTTGGTTGTAAGTTCTTACTATTCATCACTTTGAATATTTCTTGCCACTCCCTTTTGGCCTGCAAAGTTTCTGTTGAGAAATCAGCTGACAGTCTTATGGGCAATCCCTTGTAGATAACTAACTGCTTTTCTCTTGCATCTTTTAAGATTCTCTTATTGTCTTTAACCCTTGGCATTTTAATTATGATGTGTCTTGTGTGGGGCTCTTTGGGTTCCTCTAGTTTAGGACTCTTTGCACTTCCTGGATTTGTAAGTCTATTTCTTTCACCAGGTAGGGGAAGTTTTCTGTCATTATTTCTTCAAATAGTTTTTTTTTAATTTCTTGCTCTCTCTCTTCTTCTTCTGGCACCCCCATAATGAATATATTGGTATGCTAGAAGTTGTTCCAGAGGCTCCTTACATTATCTACATATTTTTGGATTCTTTTATATTTTTGCTCTTCTAGTTGAGTGTTTTGTTTGGTTTTGCTTCTTCATATTTCAAATTGTTGTCTTGGTACCCAGAATCCTCTACTCTACTGTTGAATCCCTGTAAATTGTTCTTTTTAAAACATATGTATATATTATTGATTTTTTTTTTTTTACAAAGAGGAAGGGAGAGGGATAGAGATTTAGAAGCATCAATGAAAGAGAAACATCGACCAGCTGCCTCCTGCACACCCCCTACTGGGGAGGTGCCTGCAACCAATGTACATGCCCTTGACTGGAATCGAACCTGGGACCTTTCAGTCTGTAGGCCAACGCTCTATCCACTGAACCAAAACAGTTAGGGCGTATTGGTTGATTCTTGCATGTGCCCTGATTATGGATGTTAATTGGCCACAAAAATGTGAGTTTATTTCTGGGCTCCACTCTGTCCCATTGTATGAGACGTCTGTTTTCATGCTGGTCCATGCTATTTTGATTGCAATAACCTTATAGGATAGTTTGATGCCAGATAGCATGATTCCTCTAACTCTGTTCTTCTTTCTCCATTTAATACTTTTGGATTGTGCTTGACTGCAGGTGACTGAAACCATGCAAAGCACATCCTGGGCTGAAAGAGGACAATGGTGTGGCAGCTGGCTTACATGGTGTCATTGAGCCCAAAGGCCCAATGGCAACAGATTGGAGAATCTGCTTTGCTGTCCTCAGTACCTATTTGTGAACAGGAGGCCGCTTCTGGGACGATATATTGTTTTGTTTTGTTTTTAAAAAAATATATATTTTATTGATTTTTTTACAGAAAGGAAAGGAGAGGTATAAAGAGTTAGAAACATCGATGAGAGAGAAATATCAATCAGCTGCCTCCAGCACACCCCCCACCAGGGATGTGCCCGCAACCAAGGTACATACCCTTGATCAGAATCGAACCTGGGAACCTTCAGTCTGTAGACCGACGCTCTATCCACTGAGCCAAACCAGTTTCGGCTGTAAATTGTTCTTTATTTCAGTTAGTGTATGCCTAATTTCTGCTGTTCTTTTTCATGTCATTGAAAGTCTCACTAATGTCCTTGAAAGTCTCACTAAGTTCCTTGAAACTCTCATGAAGATCTTTGAATAACTTTGTAATCATAGTTTTGAA